TTAAAATTTTATTAAAAAATTTTAAAATTTAAAAAAGTTTGCAGGCAAATTTGGCTGCAAAACAATTTAAGGGATATGCATTTTCTTGTAATTGCAAAAGTCTCTTTTCTCTTATTCCTTCACCATGGTAATACAGATATAAGAACCATGTAATTACAAAAATTGGGTTGTAAATTTTCTCTCATCTATTATCAATTTCATCAAACATTAGGTCTTTAAAATCTAAAAAATTATTGTCATCAGGTAATTCTTCTAAGCCATGCCCAACATACTAAAATATGCCCGAGTGTTACATTATCAGATTCCAAAATTTTAACTATATAGTTATATGGTTTTAATATATAGAAAAATTTATCAAGTTTTGTCCAAAAACTTGTATCTTCAACCATATTAATTATTTGATTATGATTATTTTCTCTAATAGCCAAAAGATCTGGATCTGTAATAGCTATAACTTGTATATTACTTCGAGTTGATAGAAGAGTTTCTGTAGCTTTTGAAAATGTTGCCCATCTAGTAATACAAGGATATTTTGGAGTTAAGTTTTCATTTTTTCTAACTCTCTTAGTTTAGCTAGAGCCCAATTCAAATTACAGAAATGATTGATTATAAGAAGCATACTTGAGATTACAAAATTGAATTGCTCGGATTTAATAATTTTTTTAACTAATAAATTAGTTTGATGTGCTATACAAGGTATTGTTATAATTTTTCCTTGTAATTCAGAATCTGATCAATTATTCGTCATGCTTTTGCCATATTTAAACCGCTATCTGACACAAATCCAATCCACTTATCATCTAATGACATTCCTACTTCTTTATAAGCATCAAACATTATGTTACCCATATAGTGTTGGTTTGAAAAATCGGAAATTTTCCAAATTTGACTTTGCTATTTTTTATTAGTAATAATAAAATTAACTAAACTACATTTCGAAATATTTGTCCATCCATCCCCTGACAAAGTTAAGAATTTAGAATCATCGACGAACTTTTGAATTTCAATCTCTACTTCTTTGTGTACATTATCTAAAATTTCTGTGCTAATCCATTTTCGTGATGGTAAGGTATACGAAGATTGTAGCATTTCGAATAACTTTTTAACCTCTTCATTTTCTATAAAAGTAAATGGAACATTCGCTAAAATAAGAGCTTTTAATAATTGTTGGTGAATTAGTTGATTATTTTCTAATGGAAAATTTTAATTATTATTTAATATAGGGGTTTGATCTGAATCAGAAATATTGCCTTCTTCATCCGAAGTAACATTAACTCGAACACGTTTGTTTTGAGTATTTTTTTTATTTATTTTAATTTTGTCTAAAGTGTCTTGTACTTCTTTTCTAACTTTTCTGCAAGTATTTTTTAAATGATTAAGCATTCTTTCAAGAACTCCCAATATTGGATCACGGCAATAACTACATATTGCTTGAAAATGCTTCGTATTAACTAAGTTTCCTCTTTCAAAATGATCCCAAATAGGACCTGGTTTTCTACCGTGTTTAGATTCTAATGGCATTTTAATTGGAAAGTTCAAAATATACTTTTTTTTGTTTTATGTGAGCGAATATAATGATTAAATATTTAGCGAAGCAATTAAACATTTAGCGAAGCGATTAAATATTTAGCGAAGCGATTAAATGTTTAGCGAAGTGATGAAATACTTAGCAAAGCAACGAAATATTTAGCAATATATATAGTGATTTAACAATTAAATAAATGTACAATCAGTTATAATTTTAATAAAATATTTTTCAGAAGTATACAATAAAAGCTCATATTACATTTACATTTAAAAAAAAAAAAAAAAAAGCGATTATTAATTAATTATTTCTTTACCCTTACTTATATTTCTGGGAAGAACAGCAGATAAAACCTATAAATTAACAGTAGTAGCGAACCATGTCTTATGACGGTAAACCTCCTATGCATCCTTGCTTATACTGTATTTCTGGGAAGAATAACAAACAAAACCCGGAAATTAACAGTAGTAATGAACCACGTTTTGTGACGGTAAACCTCCTATACATCCTTGCCTATAGTATACATGTTAACCTCCTATAACACCAACAGTGATAGCAAACCTTCTATAACTGCTAACAGTAACGAAAGTCTTCTATTACTAATGGTGATAACGGTAAGTTTTGCATATGGCAGTAATAGCGATATAATTGTTTAGATCAAATATTCTTATGCACATTTATTAATCATCCCTTGAATATACTAAATAAATACAAATGATCATTGATGTAATCAACGATTTGATTAAATCATCGATTGGATCATTTTCTACGATGCTATTCTATGCATATTGGACAATTCATTTATTAATTGCTTAGAAATTATTGTTAAATTATTAATTAATTTTTAATTTTTATCGTTAACAATTCGTAATTAACAATTAGAAATTCCCATCACTAAATATAGCAATAGTGCAGATTTTATCTAAATTAGCAATTAAATTGATTCAGGATCTACTTAAGTGAATTCAGAATCCACCTACAACATACGTATTAGCTTTTATAATACTTAATTAAGTTTACATCGCTATTCGGGCACACAATGCTACGTATTAACCTAGTTAATATAATAATGTAGCGGCTAGATCTTGATCTAATAAAAGACATTATTTTATTGAAATATTGTGAAAACTTGAAGTCCAGTGGTTCAGATTTTTGCCAATAACACCATATTACAGTTTATGTTTTATAGCACCAATTTAATCATTAATGCTAATTAAAATATTGTATCGCTTCTCATTGACCTAAATCTATTATTTAGTACACTGTACCATATCTCTGAAATAAAGCATATTTGATGTTACACGAGAAAGTAAAGCCCAATATATGTACAAAAAAAAAAACCAACTTTTGTAATTATCAAAAGTTTATGTGTGAATTATTATCATTATAAGAAATCGATCACCCCATTCTGAAAATCAACCGGATAAGCCGAAATTGATTTTAGTCAATTTTTTTTCATTATTAGCCAGGATCACTATACTAAAACTTGTGCGACCAATTTGAGAATTTCCTCGACGTTCTTGCCAACGTTTTTCATATCTTTTGCAACAATTTGCCATTGTTCACCGTGATGTGGCTCAGCTGCCACGCAACGAGTAATTACGTCTTGCTGTTGTTGCTGGTTTGATAAACAAATTTGAATGTGATAATAAGCAATCATAAACAAAAAATCACCCTCAATTTTATTAAAATAGTTACCTCCGCTCCATGTTGGCATTCAAATTTATAGTACCAGGCCCAAGAGTCTCCGCGGTCTGGATCAACTTTTACAGCCTTTTCGAACCACGTGCGTGCTTTATCCACTTTGCGTTCTGCCCAAAATAAACGTGCTACTGTCGCAATGACAATAGCGTCATTGTCACATTTTTTGAGTGCATCCACTGATTTAGTCTTACGTTGTGGACGAGGTTCCATGAAAATAGCCTCTGACCATAATAGGCCAGAACTAGGACATTCCTGTAATGCTATAAAATTAAAAATATTAATATTAAATTACAATAACAAACAAACAAATTTTAATTTCAATTTACCTTTTGCTAATAAAGCTTTAGCCATACTAATATTGTTACCTCGTAATTCCACTCGAACTGCCTCACACCTATAAATATGATAAATTAGAATTTTTATCGCATAGAATACTACTATATAAATTAATTTTCTATAAAAACTTACCATAATTCAGGTGTCTTTGGATTTAATAAACGACCCCTTTCAAGAGTGGCTCTGGCTTTAATCAGTAGCCCTGCCTTTTCTTCTAAGCGCGATGAAAGAATCCACAGAGGAACCGATTTCGGACAATTTTTAACAGCTTTAGTATAAGTAACTCTTGCTGTTGGTAATTCACCTTTTTCATCTTCTATTTGTCCTTTAATCATCCATAATTTATCGAATGTTGGGTATTGGACCAATGCTTCATCCAACATTGTCAATGCTTCATCGATGTTACCAAGTTGACGTTCCAAAACAATCGATTTCATCCACACTTTTTCTGTTCCTGCTTGTTCTCTTGCCCTTCGTAGTAACATACGTGCACGCTCATATTCACCATTTTCTGCTTCGAGCTTTACAGCAGCTAACCAAATCTGTTCACTATTCGGATTGGCTTTAAAAGCTTCAGTTAAAATAAATCGAGCACCATCTACATCACCCGCCAACCATTTTTCTTTTGCACCCATAAGCCACAAGACTTCGGCTTGAGGACAAAATCTGACAGCACGTTGTAATAACTCTTCCAAAGATTCTCTTGTACCATGTGACTTTTCCAAAAATGCAGCTCTTCTCCATATAGATTTTTTACCAGGGAAGGCTTTCAAAGCCTGAGCGTAAATTACTCTGGCAGTTTCTATTGACCCGTGCGAAATACAGCTTTCTGCATCCTCCATCCATATAGTCTTTTTGTCTTGTTCTTCAACGCCCATTCCAATAGTGTTTCTGACTATGGCTTGACAAGTACCAACACTTCCTTCCTTTTCACATTTTTCAGCTTCTTGCAACCACTGTTCACGACCCAAAACGCTACCTTTTTCTGATAATACAGTGACAGCGCGACTTATAATTTTATCAGTCATTTTCTCATTTCCTTGTTGTTCTTCAAGTCGAGCTGCGGCTATCCAAACCTCATGCGAAGTAGGAACATGAGTACGTGCACGATTAAGAACTTTTTTTGCATTCTCATAATTTTCTAATCTAGCTAAAGCTAGCCATAGGTCGACAGATAGAGGTACTAATTCTGTAGCTCGAGCTAATAATATACGTGCATCAGCAGGATTTTCTTCCATGTTAACTGCAGCTTTCCAAAGTTTCACAGAATTAGGTACAAATTCCAAAGCTAGAATAATAATTCATAAAATTATCAATATTGAATATAATAATTAAAATTAAACATAAAAATATTTAAATAATATACCTCTTCTAAGAACCTGTTTTTGACCCTTTGCATCAGTTTCTAATTTGACAGCATGTAACCAGATTTTAACTGACTGTGGAAGATGTTGAACAGCGTTTGCCAATATAGTTCTTGCAGATTCAGGATTATTCAAGCGTGCAGCTTCTAACCAAACATCTTCGTTTTTCGGACATTCCTCACATCCTTTGGCAATAATGGTTCTCGCCTCGGATAATTTACCTGCAACTTCTTCTAAACGAGCAGCAGCAATCCAACCTATTTATTGATTAAAATAAGCGAAATAAAATTTTTAATTATGAATAAAATTTTAATAATTAATAAATTATGTACCTGGTGCGTGTTTTGGATTTGTCGAAATCACAGAATTCAATAACAGACGCGCTTTTTTTATATCACTGAAAATTGAAAACAAATTACTTATGTAAATTTAAAGAAATAAGTGATTCAAATCAAAAAAAAACATACATACCCAATTTCTGCATCACTCTTAATAACTACACTATTTAAATCAGTCAAATAACCTTTAGGGTCAACTGTAGTCTGTCCACTCACAGAATCCGATATCTGATCTAATTTCAAGCTTAATACCTTATCTCTTGCTTGGCCGATTTCTATAAAGTTCGTCATCATCCCGTTGTCAGGGGATGGAGTTTGGAAGCCACCAAATCTCTGTTTAAGCACAAGGAAATGTAAGGAACAATACAACTTAAATGACTCAATCAATAGCTTGAAACATTTTCATAATTTACATACTTGTTGTTGTGCATCCAATGTGCTCATATATTGATTTTCTTCTTTAGCCTTTTCAAGCAGAGAATCAGGAACCGCGTAGTATCTATCAAAACATGACATCCAAGTTAATAAGCAAAGATATGAAAGATATATTTAAATTTTCTTTAGATCAATACCTTTCACGCAAATTAGTTTTTTTACGGTTTTTACCAACAAGGTCACCGACTTCAGGGAGATTTGCCCATTCATCGTCTGTAACTGCAGCGAGACCACGTTTCAAGTCAGCAAATTGTTGTTGGATTTTCGGTCTTTCAGCACGATACTTTTCTAATTCTTCTTTTTCACGTGCTTCCCTATAAAAGATAATTATTTTAGTATAAACTATATAACTATATAATAAATTATAAAATTAATAATTTAATTATTAATTTTAAATTGATTACAAACCTTCGAGCCTTTCGACGTTCATCCATTTTTTGGTCAATAGCTTCATATATTTTGTCCGCTTCTTCGTCGTCTTCTTCATATGGAGCAGAAGCAAAAAGACCAGTTTCATTATCTGGATCTTGAAAACGTTCATCATCGTCATCATCCTCCTGCTGGGCTTTTTTCGCCAAAGCATCACTGTTGAAGAAACATAGTTTCCAAGTTAACAGATTAGAAACTTGTTACGCAGGTGCGTATTGCGTATTTCTCTTCCGTAATTATCTAAACTCATTATTTTATAATGCGAAATCGGAAAAGAAATTTACTGACAAACGCCGTTTCTTGTAAAATATAGCTAATCAAATAAATGGAAGTAAAGATAGCATACCTAAAGTCAGCAGGACCTTCTCTTGCAGGACCAATATCAGATCTTGTGGTAAAACCAGTAGCACTATAAAAACAAAAGATTAATTTACTATAGATCAACAGTGTTTTTAAATATACATAGGAAATATAGCATACCCTCTACCCAAACCAGCTACATAGTTTGGTGGTGCTTCTTTATTCATAAAATCTTTCGTTGCTGAGAGCATTTTTACAAAAGTTGAAGTTTGAATCTCTTTAAGCCCTAACTATAATATTTATATATAAACTTCTCGTATCACGTGATTGGATCGCACAGTGCTGATTCGCTACCGACTACGCAACCGTAAATCAATACAATCTTGTTAACTTCGATATATTTAGATTAAAGAGCACTTATGATAAGTACACGTCGTTAGGGAAATGAGAAAAAAGGCGTAATTTGTTTGGATCTTTTTTTTTTTATTGTACTGATCAAATGACAGTAGAAAGTCACGATAAAGTGCACCTATAGAGGATGCATAGGCAGGTGCAGAACTTGGTTTAAATTCTTTTTTTAATGGCTTATAATTTCTTATATGCGCAGGAGAGAGTTTATAATTTATTATACTGAGTCTTCTATTCATATTCAGTTTTAAGAAATTATAAAATGAATTCACTCGGGTCTGTACAAAATATACAAGTAATGAACCTCGTAACAAACCCGGTATAAATCAAAAGGAGTACTGTTAATGGGGGTGCTCTACAATAGTGACATGTGGTAAGGGAGGAATGTTTCTTTCCCATTTCGATCCCCCAGGAGCTGAAGGGTCTATCAAAAATTATAAAATATATTACATGCTTATTTTTAAACATTGATATAATGAACTAAAATATTAAATATGTCTTTACATCTATAAGGGTCAGGATGGCTATATCTTCTAAGTTCGTTTTCGGCGTCCTCTAATAATGCTCTCAAGTGTTTAATACTGCTAACATTTTTATTTGCATCAAATCTTGCGCGAATCTCTACGGCCTTATGACGCCAAGCTTCACGATCTATAATCCAATCGAGAGAAGTTTTCAAAGCGCGTCTATATAAAGAAGTTACGTAACGCTTATGAGCTACTGAAAAACTAACTTGAGACATTTTTAATTGCTACTATTTTGTGAAATGTTATTTTTATTTTCGACTGTTCAATGTCGTGTAACGTTTCAAGTTATACAAGCTTAAACCTATAGTAACAAAACTTATTAAAACTTTGTTATACAATAGTTTTAATATTTAAATTTTATATATATATCAGATATATACTGTATATATTGATATATATACTGCAATATACTGTATACTGTATATAGGGTTGTTAATGGAGCAATAGTAAAACATATAACCCACTCCGGAGCACTCCATTAATAAAACATACTGTATAACCCACTTCTGGAGTACTCCATTAACAACCCTAACTGTATATATTAATATAATTTAATAAATTACACTTATACTGTATATATATCTGATATATATTACAGTATATATACTATATATACTGTATACACTATCATGCTACAGTAGTCCATATCAGCATATACAGTAGTTCCAAGATATAGTATTTATCTATTACCAATCAGATCACAAGATCAAATGTCAAATGTTGAAATGTAAGGTGAAAACTTAAAATTTATAAATCAAAAAAATCCGAGCTACGTAGTAGGATGGAACTCGGATAGAATCGCAGTATAGGGAGCAACGAACTTAGAAAATATAATAAGTTACGCAACAGGTTTAATTTTATTAGCCTGCAACTAGGTGATATTAAATGGCTTGGACCAGGAGGGAAGCACTGAAGAACTTAAATCAAGTCGAATTTTTAAAATCGCCTTGGTTCAAAATGCTTTTATTAATATCTCCATCCAATAAAAGAGTGGGAGGTAAATTAATGAAATTGATGCGTTAAAAATTTCGCGATTTTAATTGATTGAGCTAAAATTTCATGTACGTGAAGTTACACGAAACGATGTACGAAAAAATTAAGAGCTAGTTGCCTTTTTTAAAGGCTAGACTTTCTCTAATAAATGTATAAAAGAAAAAGTTATATATGTTGCAATTAAACTTTTAGTAAAATATTTGATGCGACTAGATTGTTCGCATTAGCAATTAGCAATGGAAAATTCTGTTGCTCACAGTCCCACCCTTTTCAAGCTTATCGATTTTGATACCATTTGCACAGAAAAAGAATTTTCTCTCCCTTCCGAAATTCTGACTCCCCAGGTGATAGCCGAAAGATCAAGAACAAGCTCCAGATTTCCCGCGCGTCAATCAAGGCCAAATAGGCCATATTCGTATGACCTTGGCGAAAGTTCTTCTGCATCAACGTTGACACCGCATAAGGCGATTAAAAGATCGTATACAGCTCGAAAGAGAAAAAATAGTCGCCAATTAGATGAAGACGAAATCCGCGCACTTCCAGGTAAATATTTTTTCGTTACCACAACATTATATTACATCGAATTCATAACCTATTACTTTTTTTTTTTTAGAGCAGCCAAAATATGAAAAATACAATGCTCGTGCGTTTAGTGAGAATCCTTTCATGAAACAAACTACCCCATCGACTCTTGTTAAAGGAACTTATAAACTGAATGCTGAAAAAATAGAGCGATCGTTTCTACAATTCTGTTTCAGGTTAGTTAGTGCTTAATTTTATTGTATCTGGTTATTACAAATTCGGTTTTCTATTAATGTTAATATCAATTATTCACTATCGGTCAGTCAACATGTAAATGCTTTAATTCAAGCTGCTGAATGGCTTGAGAATAATGTATGTGTGCCTTATTTTTACAATCGCATATTTTCGATTGTCAAAATAATAATTTTCTCATTCTGTTTAGGATTGCGACTCAAACCTTTTGAGTGAAAATTCTTCACAAGACGATTGAAACTAAAAAAAAAAAGGTGTACTATATCATTATTAATAAATTAATACAGAAATTATGAAAGCAAAAGCTAATTATTTGAAACAAGTATAAAATTGTCAATCAGACCGTTGCTCTTGTCATTTATCTTATTACATTAAAATACTTCAAAATTTAAGCAAGGTTATATGAGACTGATGTGACGTAACGGCAAAAAGCCTCTAGCAGGATCTATAAAAATATATATAAAAGTACGGTCAGTCCATCGAATAAAAAGCAATAAGTTTTCTGATCTTATATATATATATATATATAGTAATAAATTCATCTTTCTTCGACTATCATTAACATTTAAGCCTCACCCTTACCGAACATGAACGACGCTATGGCATTCAATCCAATATAGCTTCGAAATTTTCGCTGACAAGAGCTCTTTCGTTAAAGATACGATGCCCTCACTGGAGAACGTAACAACTTTTAATATTGGCTAACCTGCTATCAATTGGTTACCCGATTATATGGCAAATTAAAGACATTTTGAGAAACCTAGTAAATATTATTTGGGATTTTACCTAATCCTAAACTAGTAAGTTTAGGTTGCAGCTCTAATTTGTTAGAGTATACATAATATCGGCAATGAACAAGACGCCGAAATGGGGCTGGTTACCAGTTAAAAAAATGAATTTCAATTGGTGCGATTATTTAAATAAATTCCTGTCCATGATTTTCATCGAATCGAATCACTTCAGGTCACCAATCAAGGAACTATTATTTGTGAACTTCAGGACTTGGTTTGTTTGTTTTTTCTAATATCAATATAGGAACTAATTAGCCTTTTAATCTTATTGATTCATATAAATTTAGATAAAATATTTAGAAATTTTGAATTTTTATTTTTATTTATTGAAAAAATATACAGTATATGGTGCATCTGTGCATTTGGTGCCTCTCTAATTGCCAATAAGCATAATACGTATTAAATAAAGATTAGGATTAGGGGATTAGGCAATGTTATTTTTCACGTACCCGCACCTGTGCGGATCCAATCAAATTTTGAAATAACCCAATTTGATTGGATCCGCACATGCGCACCCTGTGAAAAATAAGCGTGAGAAATATTTTTTGTTAGTAGCACAACAGGGGTTATTCTAGTAAAATTTGAGATATAGAGATGTACCGGTGGGCATGATGCATGATGCTTCTTATCAAAAATCATGTATTTTTTATTAAAAAATCTATAAAATCTTGTTTTAATTATTTTTAAAAAATGTAACCGATAAAAAACTATTGTTTTTACAGTAATTCTATTCAAATTATCGGTTAGAATTTTTAAAAAGTTTATAATTTAAAGTTGTGTTTAAAGCTATTATGTTTTAAAATTTTGGCATTTAATATGAAAAGTTTTTTTCAAAATTTTTTTTTATCCAATTAACATTAGTATATAATATATTCCAATTGGCTTAAAAACATACCCAAATTTTAAATTTGGCGTATTTGATATGAAGTAATTTGAAGCCATAATAATAATTTTTTATTTATTTTTTTATTTTTATTTTTTTTAATGGTCTCACTAGAGCTTAGCTAAAATTGATTTATACATTGATTGAATCTAAAAGAAACTATTACTATGAAACTACTTTTAATATATATGCCTAATATTACCTGGCTGCTTTAAGAGTGCTCAGATATAATTTGTCACACTAGCTTCTAGGAGCTAGATCTCAATAGTATAACTACTATTAAGAACTATGCTAGTAGAATTATCTACTAGCCTATTAAAAAACTTGTCAACTCATCAAAAAACTAATTCTTTTGATTTTTTTTTCTTTATTGAGAACAAAAAAAAATAAAGTTTTATGTTTACAATTCAAAACTACAATAAAAAAAAATATAAAAAGAGAAATTTAAAAAATAATAAAAAAAAAAGCAAGAAAATATAAAAAAAAAAGAAAACAAAAAAAAGTTTGTGCAACAAGAAATAGTTCTTGTAACAAATTATTACTACTTAGCTAAATACAAAATTTTATTACTATACTTATAGTAAGATATCTTTGCAATTTATTTTAGGTCACTATTATAGTATAATATTGAAGTAATTGCTTTACTTGATCTTCTTAAATTTTCAATTTTCACAGTTAAGTACTTGTATATCATTTTGCAAACGTTTGGAAAAATCGTACAGTATTAGCCATTGTAACCAAAACTGTCTTGAAAACTAAAGCACAAAATAAAGCATACTTAGTTTTTTTGTTCTTTTTAAAAATACATACTGTTAATTTCTCTGCAAGTTCTAATATAGTCATATTGGAATTAAATATTAATCTTTTAACTTTTGCATTATAACTTTCAACTCAGGAAGTAAATGATATTCCTGTTATAAATAATTTAAATACAAATACTTTTGCCCATGATTCTTTATTAGTATAAAGCCATTGCAAATAATTAACCATATTTTCATTATTGAACTTTTCAAATAAATATTTTCAAAGACTATAATGAAGTTAACTCATTGCACTTCAAAGAAATCTCTAACAAACTCTTCATATTTGTCTCTAAGATAGTTTTTTAGATTAAAAGAAATGTTTTGTACAATATAAAATATGCAGTTAAAAGTATTCATAGTTAAAATTTTATCTCTTATTGTAGCAATTAGAGCAGGATTAGTATTGATAAAAATAACTTGAAGAGCAAATCTATTTATTGCTTTTTTAATTTGCTGTAATATCCAGCTATGTACCTTTTTTGTTTTATTATTAATTAATTTCTGAGATACTAACCAAGAAGATAAATGATTATCTATTACCAAAAAAAGTAACAATATCATCTCATACTAATTAGTAGTACTGATATTATTGTTTAAAACAACATCACCAAACTTCAGCCATTGTTCAATTTGATTAAGAGACATATAGAACAATGACGAAGACATTTACTGCTAAGGTTTCAATTTACTTAAATATACTATTGGGGATCAACTTCTTTCTTATTTAACAATTTCTTATATAATTTGCTAACTTTGGACAAAATCATTGAATTACTTAATATAATACTAGCATATATACTTTTACAAAAAATTTTTTTCAAGAGCTTTACAAATCTGCTAAGAGCTACAATTCATTTTTTTTACAAAGAACTCAACATTCTCAGTCATCTTCTTTGTAAATACTATGTTTTTTTGAAAGTTATAACAAGCTTAATCAAGGTTATGATTTTTATATTCATTAACTAATTTTGCAATATATACAGTTTTGAGTAGGGTTGGGAATAAGCCAGGCTAAGCCTGGAAATTTACGGGCCAGGTGGGCTCAGGCCTAATTCAGGCTTACTAATTTTTAGGCCAGGCCCGTGTTAGGCCCATTTAAATAATAGGCTGGGTACAGGCTTTGTAACCAAACCCAATAGACCCAACAGGCCTATTAGTTGGTATTTCAATTTAATTGTACCCTTCAAAAACTAATCAAAGTTTTTCAATAGATAAAATTGCTTGAGGTTTCAACCTGCTAAGTCAAACCAGAAAACCTTCTAAACATTATACCAATTATGCAGGCTTTCCTTGATAGTGCTCCAATTTCCAAACCCAAATTAGATAAAACTCCAAAGTGTCCTATTTGGGTTTGGTTACCTATACCGATACTTAATATTTTACTTATAACAAAATAAAGGTATTGCTGATATTAGTGTTTGATTATTAAAAGTGATTGATTGTAAATTTCTTAAATTAGAATATATTAAAATTTCATTTGCACATAATTATATAATAGTAATTCTATCTTGTTTTTAAGAATCTAAATCAATTGATCAGATATAATTTATTAAAAGTTAAAAGATGGACCATATCTATTTCATTTATATCAAAGTATCAACTATTTATTTTAAAAGCTTTAAGTATTATAGCTGTTTTTATAAATTTTGGACATCTAGTAAAAAATTGACTAAATGATTGTTTGGCCAATTCGATAAGTTTTTGATTTAGTAATTAATGATTACGTAATAATGTGCATACTTGCTAATGATAGAGAAAATATATATCGATTATTTGTGCACTTCAGATAAGTTGCTATTTAGATATTTTAAAATGTATACTATAAATAAACAAACTAAAGGCTCAGTTGTTAGATTAACTGTTTCAATATCTAATTTGTTTTTGGTTTATATTTTAAAAATTAATTTATATTTAATAAATTAGAGCTATTACCCGGGTCGGGTGACCTGTACGGATCACCCGACCCAATGAGTCATGGGTCGGAATTTTCTTGACCCGAGTCAAACAGTTTAGGATTTAAAATAGGTCAAACTTGCAATTATACATATATATCAATATCAATATAAAAGAGATACATTATTATTACACATAATCGTATTGGTAAAAAATGTTTAAATAGAACATTTCTTCCATTTAATACTTTGAAATTCCATTATTTATTCAATATATTATTCTTATTGTTTCCACTTGAGTTTGTGACATATACATGTTTACATATAACTTTTTTTATAACAGAATACATTTTTATTTGGAAAGCCAGAATAGATCAATTGGAAAATAATATCCCAGTTTTTTTTTATTTAATAGTGATAAGTATTTAACAATTTCTTCAAAATAATATACATAAAGTTTGAGATTAATAATTTATATACACGATTCTTTAAATCTTCAGGTGATTTATCATATGTGCCCATCGCACAAATTTTATATATTTGTAATATATTTAATTATATGTGATTCATTATTTTTTTATATTATATAGTATGTCTTATATTCACAATTTAATTTTAATGATTTATTTAAATCCGCAAGTACTTCACATTGCATTTACTGACTTAACTCCAGAGCTATTTGTCTAATTCAATTATCAATTAAGTTATTAAATTCAATTATATTAAGTATAAAAATTTTTATTACCTAATTAAAAATATATAAAACAGGCCAAAGTTTTAGAGCTGACTTAAGAAGCAAAATTGACTTAACAAATTGAGAATTAAGACTTGTTCTTTTTTCTGTAATAGTAAGACTAGCGGATGAAAAA